CTCTTGCCACTTTATTACTCGGGTCATTGTGGACGAGAACACAATGTTGTTCCAGGAAGATGGAGCACCGTGTCACACTGCTAGAAACACCCAAAAGTGGCAGGAAGAAAATGGTATCCGGAAGTTGCCCTGGCCAAGCCAATCTCCTGACATGAACCCCATTGAAAACCTCTGGGCCATACTCGACCGGCAAGTCAAGAAACAACCAAAAAAACCAACTCCAAAGAGCAATCTACTCCAAGTTTTGAAGCAAGAGTGGGCAAAAATTCCACAATCTAAAATTGACAAGATGATTCTAACGATGCCCCAAAGGATCAACGAACTCCACGAAGCGAAAGGAAGATCTACTAGATATTAATTAAATTATAAATATATCAATTCATGTGAATATGACTGAAAATTTTCATTTTTTCTGAAAAGGTGGTGTCTATTTACTGTGACCACGCTATGTAGATATTCACTTTCTTGTGAAATATTTATGTTTCGGTTTGATATTTTTGTAATTATAATTCTCCTTATACCAACACTTTAAGTGATTTATTTTCCCTTTTTCTTTTTATCAAATAACTACCAACCTTGATTACTACTCTCCAACTTCTTTTTTTTATCATTTGAGCAAACATGTACCATCACAATGAATGACTCGTCAAATAAAGTAACATATTTTAAGACATAAATACACATGAATATTTTCAATCATAGAGAAACTTATTTTCTTTGCAGTTTATAACAATATTAATGGCTTTATGCAACGTATACTTAGTAAAAATTACTCAGACTTAGAAACTTAAGCAGAAATGTTTTCGAAAAAATGAGAAACGGCAGAATTAATGCAATATCAGGTTTACAACAATATTAGTGACTTGACATAACGTACATTAAGTAAAAACTTCTCAGGCTTAGAATTTTTTTGCATAAATAATACAAGGTTAGCAATAATAATACAATGAAAGAAAAACATTTAAATTTCTAAATAACTGTCTCATATTCTGCAATTTCCTTTCGCATTGGCCTATAGTAAAGTCTTGAATGTGGAGGCTGAAACTCATTTGCACTGCTGTAATTTTTCGTGAGGTATCGTGGCTTTACAGGGTCAACAGGACTTGTTCTGAAATAGAAAATGTAATTTTCAAAATAATAAACCAAATATTCGTTTTTATGTGCTAATATCAATCAAACGAAACTTTCTTTTTTCAATACAAATTCTCAAGACTTTTGCAGCTAACTCCAAATACTTTTATAATCAATTTAATATCAACTGAAATACAAAATAATAATAATAAGGTAAGGGTTTCATTGAAAATATTACGGGATTACACAAGCATCATTTCAAGAAAAAGTTGTACTGAACGAATATTTATGAGATGAAATATTCTATAATTATACCTGGGGGGACAGGGGTAGAATTAATTCTAGAAGTGATTCAGATAGAGATTTGTATTGATATAAAGCCTCTTTTGGAGCTCGAAAGGTGTACTGGTGTAAAATTACCATTTGAACTAATTGATTTCTAGAGGTGTACTAATATCACGTTTTATTTTGGAGTTGGTTCAGCTCGAAATATGTAATGACATAGAACTCCCACTGGAATCGATTGATCTCGAGATGTGTAATGACATAGAACTCCCACTGGAATTAATTGAACTCGAGATGCCTACTGATATAAAATTCTCTATGGTAATGTTTGACATTGAGATTTTTGCCCACTTTCCTACGTTAATGCTGCCTTTGAAACTGATGTAAAATTATCTACTGATTCACTTTATTTTTAGCTGTCTTAAATCAATCTGTTTGAGCGTATTCTGAATTTTTACGGTAGAATTCAAATCCCAATTTACTTGAGGTACAGTTCTTTCTGCAGCTGTTTAAGCTTGAAGCGAGCCATGTCGAGTTCATGTCTAGCTTTCCACAAGAGGGTGTCGCAGATTGGGTCTTTACACCGGTGACGCTTCAACATGTCCTGAGCCTCGTAAACTGCACCTCGAAAACTCAACGATTTTCCCATACTCTATAGAGAAAAATATACTGCATTAGGATTTCCAAACCAGATTAACAAAAATGTATTAGTTGTTATGCTGTATTAATTAGACGTAGGACGAAAACAAGACGACTTTATGGGAACAACAACTAGAGTATAATTGAATGTTCATGTAACGTATAGCTTTAAGGAAATAAAATTGGTTAAGATATTTTGTTTTATAAGTTGTGGCAAAATATGTGTTTTCTTAGTGTGTATCATTTTGTTACTTATATAAAACAAATGAGAAAACTTTTATGAAATAGCAACAGGATTCTTCTTTGTGGCATAGAAACTAATGAATAATGGAGGTTATTTATTTAGTGGACCCATCCTTTTGATTGACATTACCAATGTTGTCTGAGTAGGTTGAAAGAAATTAATCATTCTTCGTTTAAGAAAAAAATTACAGTGTTTGAAATTCATATCAGGCAGGCGGTAGCACTGCCTATGTAGGGATGGCTCTGAATGTTCATCGAAATGGTATTTTATATATCTCCTCAATAAGCCATCAGAATTTTACAATACTATACGGTGTTTCCTGTTATAACAATATCTGTGTAATTACTGAGTCACAAGTTCTGTGAATGTCTGTAAATATCATAGAAAAAGGTTTGAATTTCTTCTTCTTTTTTTCTTCTTGTTTTTTATAGCATGACAATTCAAAAACCAAGACAATGGTGTCAACCAATTTTACTGAGGTGATATAATTTCAAACGGAGCATTTGCTTTTATAAGTATTATTAATAAGTAGTAGTAATTTAAAAAATTCAAAATTCTAGTGTAAATAATGTTACCATTACCTTTCTTATAGAAATTGTTATTTTTTTAAAAAGCTTTAGTACACGGTGAAACAGGAATTACCAGCCAATAATAGATAAATAATATATATTACAGCTGGAATCTTGTTGTATTTAGAACTTGGCTATAAATACAACTTTCATATGTCTATTGAAACACTGCATTGAAAAAACAACCAAAGAAAAAACAAAGAAAAACTTTTCAAAAAAGGAAGTAAATGTAGGGATGGCTAATATCAATCCTTTAAAAACAATGCAAACAAGGTAGTAGGGATGACATTTGCATCATCCCTACAAAATAACAAAGGCAAGAATTAACATATAGCAATATATACAACTATTCAATCCCAGTCGAGTTTAATTTACTCTATTTTTGTCTGTTAACATTCTATTACACTATTATATATTAATGAAAAGTTATATATTTTTGGTTTGTTTATAGCACAAAGTTATACAATGGGTTATCTATGCTCTGGTCACCGTGGGTATCAAAACCCAATTTTTATCGTTTTAAAACTTCAGATTTACCGCTAAGCCACTGGGGGGGGGGAGCGAGCCAAAAATAAATTATTTTTCTTTGTTATCTGAAACAGAAATTTAATTGTATACAATTAAATATAAATTTTGTATACACAGCAAAGCCCATAAACGAATAAGCAATATCAATGTGTTACCAAGATTCTTGAATTATGACATGGGTACTTATTGATTTCGAAACCTGATCTAAAAGTGGTAACACCTTACAGAGTAGCATATTACACAAAGTAAATCCTGCTATGTCTATTCAGATAGTCTTAAATTATGTTAGATAATGTAAGCAGTATGAAATGTTTATGAATAACAGTTGAAATATAGTGTTAAGACATTTTCATTTGGTTAAACTCAACGTTTCCGCTCACAAAAAGGACTGCGCCCTCGATGATCAGAAGTTTCAGTAACTATCATGTTATTATCCTGTTCTACAACTAGGCGTATGGCACAGTTCCTATCACAAAACATGCAAAATCCATATTTGGTTTTAGACAAACAATATACACACTTTGGAGTAGCAGCAGTTATTCAGGACAGTGGAAATGCTGCACTAAATTATAATAATGATGAATAATACGACTCTTTGAGACTAAATGTTTGGATACTTTTGGCAGAACATTGTATGTATATAAATATTCAATGTATCTTTATAATTCGTACACATGAGTTAGACATGTGGTAAGGCAATTACTATAAATTAGTGTTTGAAAATAAATGTGTTAACTGCCCAAAAATTAAGCAAGGTCTATTTGTATTATTGTCAGTAATGAACATTTTAATTTCCCGCTTGAAAGTGTTTCATATTAATATATTTCAATCTAGTTTCCTATGTACAGAATACGCTATTATATTATAAAGTGTTTTATCAATATATATATGTACACACATATGTATAGAAGACATTTTAATTATTAAAAAGTTAATCTATAATTTGCAGGAATGTTAATTATTAATCGTTAATGGATAATATCCACACACAACGAAAAACCAATGGTCAGGTAAACTGAGACTTTTTGACTTCATATGTGTCACATATAAATATAGCATGTGTGGTTAATTAGGATCATTTACGCAACTGACTGCCTATAAATATAGCATGTGTGGTTAATTAAGATCATTTATGCAACTGACTGCCTATTTTAGTAGTATTACTGGTCAGGGAGGAGATTGGATGATTTACTAAATTATTAAGATGAAGAGCAATTTCGTGTTTTTTTTTAATAGTAGTGTTTATGGATCAAAACATCTTTGGCTTAATTATACTGTTGAAACGAGTATGTGACTATCATGGGATTGGAATGCCAGTTACATGATATAAGTTCTATTCATCACTCCAATTATTTGTTTTTAGTAACCTGTAATTATAGTCAATTTTTATTTGCCTCTGTTGTTTCATTAAGTACAATAGCCTTTTTATAGCTGGTTTTATGCAACGAAGGGCAGTTTTTAGATATCAGATATTGTTGGCTTGAATATTCGTATTTCCTACCACCTTTAAAAGTTATTTTTTACAAGCTGAGGTACCCGTCCTTTGTCATGGTTATGAACTTAAAACAAATGTGGGGGATGGATGGAAAGATAAATAATGCAAACATTCTAACTTTCACAATATTTATTTATAACATAACGTACTATTACAGTATTCATTATTACCTCCATGGCCAGGTGGTTAAGGCCATGGAGGGTCGTGGGTTCGAATCCCCGTCACACCAAACATGGTCGCCCTTTCAGCCGTGGGGGCGTTATAATGTGACGGTCAATCCCACTATTCGTTGGTAAAAGAGTAGCCCAAGAGTTGGCGGTGGGTGGTGATGACACTGCTAAATTAGGGACGGCGAGTGCAGATAGCCCTCGTGTAGCTTTGCGCGAAATTCAAAAATAAACATTATTACCTCACCAAAAGTTTTGTACAAGGTTTAAATAATCAATATGTATATGCTTAAAACATGGTATACACTGTGTGATAGTCAGGGTGACTTTGTATGAAGAGGTAGCAGAAAAAGTAGCTTCTGTTACCCGCTTTCAACACCCACCTCTTTATGTCATTCCACACTGTTTCACGTTATTAATCAATTGACGCAGAAGTGTCTTATGGGATGAAGTTGTAAGTTCACGCGTCAAAGTAGGAAGTGAGTATAATTCAAGAAACGGCTCTTTATATCATCGTTATGACGGCTGTTGTGGTATCAACTTCATTTGAGTTTAATTAATATTTTAAAAATTCAAGAAACGGCTCTTAATATCATCGTTATGACGGCTGTTGTGGTATCAACTTCATTTGAGTTTAATTAATATTTTAAAAATTCAAGAAACGGCTCTTAATATCATCGTTATGACGGCTGTTGTGGTATCAACTTCATTTGAGTTTAAGTATTATTGCAAAATTCAAGAAACGGCTCTTCATATCATCGTTATGATGGCTGTTGTAATATCAGCTTCATTTGAGTTTAAGTATTATTGCAAAATTCAAGAAACGGCTCTTCATATCATCGTTATGATGGCTGTTGTAGTATCAACTTCATTTGAGTTTAATTAATATTTGAAAAATTCAAGAAACGGCTCTTCATATCATCGTTATGATGGCTGTTGTAATATCAACTTCATTTGAGTTTAAGTATTATTGCAATAGTGGCGGCCATTTTTTCATTACATTCCTCCACAGAGAGTGCTGGTGCACTCTCTGAGATATATAAGACGTTTGTCTGCGGTCCCCCACACCGCGTGTATGTTGTGTTGTAGAAAATTCAATGTGTGTGTTCTTATAGTAAAGCAACATCGAGCTATCTGTTGTATCCACCGAGGGGAATCGAACCCCTGATTTTAGTGTTGTAAATCTGAAGACTTAACGCTGTTTTGTTTGTTTGGTGTAAAATAATCAATGCTCAATAAGATCAATAATGAGGATGGAGGAGTTGTGAACCACTCATTAACATGCTCCTTGGTCCAAACTATTATCCCATCAAGTTTGGTTGAGATTGGGCCCAGTGATCTAGGAGTAGTTACATAAAGGACTAACAGACAGACATATATATTTTTGTGCTTTATATATATATCTAGATTCCTCGTTTCATTTCATATGAGAGGCTAGCCAATAGAGGTTAATATACGGTGTATTTCCATTGTGCGTGTGTGCTTTTATCGCAGATACCTCGTACCAAAATAAATTTTGACATTACCATAACACAGTTTGTACTTTATTTTATTTTGTCTGTCCTATATGTGCGATTTTCCTTTTTTGGGTTAACCATTTTAATTTTTTACATGCACAATTTTTTTTACTTTAGGTGTTGTTTAAACCTGTGATTGGTCACAGTCCGATAAACCTGAGTTATTAAAAATAATACGTAATGGGTAGATTAATTAATACAAAATTGTATGATGTTGAATCGTATCATCGATCCGTATCCTATATGCAAGTATATTATTCAGGATTACCGTAAGCAGAGACCATTCATCAAATTTTGATACACATAAACCCGTTTAGCGATAATAAAGTGAAACAAGAAGCAATCCAACAGATTAAAGTTTTAATCACAAGTTAGAATGAAAGATGAGGAAAAACTTACCAAACTGACAAGAGCAAAACAGCCTCCAGTGTCCTTCTTAGCCAAGTGTTGACGGATGTACTTGAAATATATATGCTCTAACCCTAACACGACTAGAGTGAATATGACTCCACATCCAAGCAGCAGGAAGGCACTCATGAACTGGTTGGTGTCTAGAGGATTACTGGCGTTTCGTTTGTTCTTAGTGGGCTTGCAAACACCTTGCAACCAGAACCTTTGGAGTCGGTCCAAGTCACCTGGATGGAAAGAGGTAGGTGCACAGAGAATTTAGCAGTTAAAAATATATAATTTGAGAGTAGCATATCGTTTGTTCGTTCAATTTTAAGCAAAGCTCCCCGAAGGCAATATGCCCTAGTCATCCCTAATTTTGAAGTGATAGACAAGAGTGAAGGCAGCTAGTCAATACCAGGAGAACTTGTATAATTGAAACTACTAGAATATGTAAGTATTCTAGGTTAGTATATTTAGGTATTTATAACGATTAACAAATAAAACGTTCTATAACTAGGTTTTTATAGGGTTTTTTTTTCAGTACTATAACACGATATATGTAAATAACTATTGATAACTTGAAGAGAGGAATAATTTACTGACTCTATTAACCAAAGAATTATGACAGAAATTATCGTAATTGATAAGACTGAGCATGTCTAGGCATGTCCAAAGCGAATCAGTGTAGAAAGACCTCCCAAAATAATAAATTGAAGCTCTACATAAATGGTAATGAAAAATAGTAGTTTTTAAGCCTAAGGTGCAAATTTATCGTAACACCTAGGTAGTGAGGAAAATGTTCAAAATGACTCACTGTCGTCCATCTGTCATCGGTGGGATAGCGATAAGTCTCCGTACTTACAACATTAAAATCCGGGGTTCGATTCCCCGCGGGTGGACTCAGCAGATATT